TAGGCTGTTGATGGCTGAAAATCGTCATAACAACTTAGATTCTATATGAAAAACAAATATTTCTGCATTTTTGCAATTCATTACATCAAATCTCTTTTCTCTAACAAAGAACAAACGAAAAATGACAAAAACTAGGCAGGTTATGAGCGATGAAATGAGGTCAACAATTTGCATAGTGCGTAAAAACCGGAAGTCGAGTATAGCGGAGGGGCAACAATAGGAATTGAGAGGGATAGTGTTCTCCTTCATTGTATTGAAGTCATTGTACTTGAAGGGAGAGTGTGAGAATGCATGACGACATAGAAGTTTGCTAATAGTAGCACAATAAGAAGATTTAGGCCTTTAAGTCTTATTGAAAACTATTTTATTAACACATGAAGCTGGATAGGCATTTGTTTTAGTGAAAATCTGTACAATCGACTCTCGATTTAACGACTCGATACAACGATTTTGAATCTGCGTAGTTGCCCAGCTAAACGGTTTCTGTGTAGCTGCCCAGCCAAACGCAATCGTTGGCCGTTCAGAGCAGTTACGCAAGAGATTTGGGGCAGGTTTTAGAATAATTAAATCGAAATTCTTGGCGCCGAGCAAATCGTTAAATCGAGAGTCTTTTATAATGTAATTTCTATGAGAATTCTATGAGAATTGAGTCAGTTTTGGGTCAATTCGCTAGCTTTAAACAAGACTTAATCGTTCTTAATAGATAAATTTTGTATTGCAATCAAAGTCTGACAATAAAATGCAATGGTTAAGCTAAACCGAAACTGCAATCATCAGTCGATGAAAGAATGAAGCGAAGAAAAAAAAATGCGTGACGAAATCAATAGATGAGGCTTCCCTCTTTCATCCATCAAACAGTTCCTTTCACCCGCTATATATTCCGGTTCAATGAGGAAAAGCTAGAGAAGAGAATTGATAGAAAGAAAGAAACAGAAAATATTAATGGAGAGAATGATGAGGGATTCAACGATCCCGATGCGCTCAATGTATTCTGTGAATCTTTGATCATGGGGAATACCTCGTTATGAGGGAAGTGATTGTGAATTCTTGAGAACAAAAAGCTTTGTTGAAAAATAACAGAGCTTTAAAGTAGTTAAACAAAGAGCTAAAGCCATGTCTTGCTCGAGTTTTAAAGGAAATTTGGGAGATCTGAAAGCGTTTACCTTTATCTATGTAACAATATTGGTTTAGCAAAAGTTTAAAAAATAGAACACTGCAGGATTTTTAACTTACGATGCTGAATAAGGAACGAATAGGCGTTTCAAAGCCTATTTGTTTTCCTTTTCATTACAATTAGAGGCCCTAAATTCAAAAAAAGCTTACAATTAGTTAATTAAAATGAAGAACTTTTTATGCTTGAAGTAAAATCTAATATATAAAAGAGCAGTGTCTGTCCGTCCGTCCGTCTATCTGTACGGGCTTTTTCCCAGCCGTCTTTGGGCCAAAAAAGCTGAAATTTTTAAAACAAGTCTTAAAATATATTGTAGTCGTGCCATCTAAATAAAAAAATCAAAAATCAAAGTTGATTGGCATTACGTGGGGTCGAACCCGGCTCGTGTGGGCCGTAGACGAGCGCGCGCCTGACTGCGCCACGGCGAGACGTCTAGCAAGCCAGAAAAACCCGCTGTTAGACGGGTTATTCTGGTTTTTCAGATTTTTCAGCTGGTGACAATAATAAAGTCATACATATCGGTGAGAAAATCAAGCGGAAAAGCAAAATGATGATGCACAGAAGAGAAAAAGAGAAAAAGTCCATGTTTGCGCCCGAACGGCTATTTCCGGAGCCCGGAAGGGGGGCTGGGGGTGGGAAAGGAAAGGAAAGCACCCCTTCTCCTCCAAGAAAGTGACACCCCTTTGAAAGTCCTCTTTTCGAGTTCTCGATCTCACCATCCCACTTTGATTCTAGAAAAAAGACCAGGAACCAAAAGAGAAACGTGATTTAGCTAAGATCACACAATTCACTGCGTCTAAATGAATTGGTTATTGAGAGTAGATTTGATTGGTAGAAAAAGAGATCTGTTATGAGATTGTTATGAGATTATTATGAGATTTGAAATTGGGTTTGCCCCGAAAATTGTTATTTGAATCGAACTTGTTGATCCGCTGGGTTATGGTATTCTTAGACTTGTACTTTGCTTTGCTTAACTTTGCTTACTCTTAGAACTTTGGCAGGTATGCCAGGGTATACCAGGGTATACCAGGGTATTCTTAGCCTTAAAACTCAAAAATCACAAACTAACTTCTACAATTTAAAAGATTGCACCAAAAGAGCTAACAAATAGCTTGAAAAATCTCATAGCTGGAAGCAAATGTGTTTACTTTGAGACATCCTTTTCTTGTTTGTTTCCATTTTTAGTCCGTCGACCGATTTGGAGCCTCTTCCTTTTCTATTCCTTTTTAAAGTCTCAAAGAGACTCCCTCACCAATAGACCACAAACAATAGCATTACGGGAATTAAAGTCAAAATTACAGGCCTTTCCCAGCTTCCATTAAAGAAAAGAAATTTTCCTTGACTCTTTTTTTTGATCACTTCTCATTTCTTCAGCTGTACGAATTCAATTTACATCGAAATTAGGGCGGATTATCGAGAAAAAGGTCTACGGGAATTTGAAATGAAAAACAAGACTGAGTCTAGATTAGATAGGGTTAGGTAGTTAAAAGAATCACAAAAATTGGTTCTCAGGAATAGTTCTCAGGAATTGGAAAGTTTATGGTTAATTATCATTAAGTTATTTTAAACATTGAGCCTTTAGATTGTTAGATAGTAAGTATTTTTAGATAGTAAGTATTTTTAGACAGTAAGATTGTTTGATCTACGTTTTCTAAGCTATACGTCCACTTTTCTAATGCGTTTGATTGAATTTTGAGTCTTTGCTTGGATCTATTTGACATAAAGAAGGCTCAGATTTATTGAAAGTTCATATAGGACGTGGTAAGAGCAATGCATTAAGTTGGCTGCGGTGTTCGCTAAAAACAATGACTGCAGGCAGGGTCGAACCTGTAGCTCCGGATTTGGGGACAGACGCTCTGGCAATCCACCATGAGGGCACATTGAATCCGATACTTTTCTGCGCCCTTTCCTCTCAAGGGCTGTCTGTGCTGCCCTTGAGGATCCTTGAGCCCTTAAGGAGCCCTTGAGGAGGCCCGACTATCTAAGACCAGCCGGGAAACTGTTTTTCCGGATTTTTTGGGGAAGAACGGCTTTTGTCGCCATGGCGCAGCGGATAGCGCGCCGGTCTATCGCCCATACGATCCGGGTTTGACCCCCGCATACGACACCACTTTTGTTTTTAAAAAAATCCAAAGGCACATTGCACAACTACATTGAATTCCCTACTCAACGGCGCAAAATTCATTGCAAACGGTCATCTGGGAGCTGAGGAGTAGCGCGCACAGAGAGACGGACAGACAGATGGACATACAGACGGACAGACAGACGGACAGACAGACAGAAGACCTCTTAGTCTCTTTATATATAGTAGATATACAAAAAAATAAAACATCCGTCCGTCTGTCACGCCTACACGACAATACAAATTACGTCAACGTAAAATTACAACGAAGTGAGCTAGAAAGCTGAAAATTTGTACTCGGGGGTTTTCGGGGGTGAGGAACTCAAATCTGCAATTAGATTTATGCTACGTGCTCTCAGTACCTCTAAGGAGAGTGCGGCCGCTTAACGGCTATATTCTTAGCTTTACATTAAATTCACATTATTGACAAGCCAACGGTTTGTCAATTAGTGTAAAATCTCAATTAGATATCAAGCTTTGATCATCTTCTTGCTTACTCAATTCAAATGAACATACCAATGAAGCAGTGGGCAGTCCCGAGCTCATAGTTCTGCGTCTTCTGTTTCGCTGAAGGGTTGCTAAATGCAAGATTTGGAGGTGATTCAACCGTTGCGCCGTTGTGAACGATTTGTTGGACACAGGCGAATAAAAAGTCTTCTCTGATTGATTGTTTCAATGTCTTGTTGATGTTGATGTCTTTTTCTGAAAGTGAAAGAGGTATGAGTGAAAAGTACAAAGGAAAAGCTACAAAGGAAAATCTCAAAATAAAAAGAAAAGTCGCAAAAGGGTCACAACGGGATTGACAAACGATAATCGATAATTGATATTCACAAGATAAACTTTTAAAATAAGAATTAAACAGGTTTCAAATCGCTTTCAATCGAATTTGTTTTCGATTCGATCAGCATGACTTTTTGTTGACAATGTGCATTATTATGAAACAAGGAAAGAAACCAGAAATCAGAAATTAGGAAAACTAAGAACTTCAGCCTTAAAAACCAAGAACTTCAACCTTAAAAGCCTTATCAAGTGCACAAGCCTTTCAATTCCCAAGCAATCAATCCATCGGCTTTCATCTTTTTAAGGAAAAAGAGAAGATCATTGAGAGCAATCAAAAAGAGAGAAGAAATCATATGGAAGGCCGTGACGCTCCTTTGGACGCGTTGCGGCTTTTACCCTTTTCTTCTCTTCCTTTTCCATTCCCACCCGCAGGGCCAAATATCGGCTATTGGAAAACCCGGCAACTCTCCCACTTTTCTCCAACTTTCTCCAATAATTGCCCAAAATTTAGCCCACTCATTGTTTGCTTAAAGCTATTGTTTAAGAGAATCATTCTTTTAAAGCTTCAAAGTTCGTTTTCTGTCAAATTTATCCACTAAATAGTTTCCCGGCTTTGTTGTTAGTCATAGCTTTCTTTTGTGATCACTATTTACCCAACTTTTAAACTATTAATTCAGATTTTAGCAACAATCAATAATTTTCCGTAATTTTCCAGGAAATTACCAATTTTTTCAAGCAAAATGAACTTGTAATCAAAAAAAACATCTGTGCTTTTGATAATTGCCTGCAGAGTTGGCTTAAGACTTAGCTATTGATGGAATCAATTGTTCAAAAAGTTCTTTTATCGCTTTCATTTGTTTTTATTGATTCAATTCTCGTAAATTCTTATCATTTACTTTTTTTAGCCTCTCTTGGGTATCGGCCACGATGATTGGCGGGTTATTCGTTTACAATCACAAAGGAGAGGTGCTCATCTCAAGGATTTATCGAGATGATGTCAAGTAAGAGAATTTACAGTACTTTTGAATCTGTTGCACACATATTACCTAATTAGCATTTGTTTTGAAAATTTGCATTACATATAATAGGTGCAAATATGCATTTGCTGCTAAAAGCAAAAGCTGCTTAAAGGTTTAAAATGGCTTTTGAATAGGGCCGTGCTAGCCCGTGATGCGCGGCTGGGAAGTGACCTGCGTCACACCATGTTTTTTTTTATTGGACCACGCAGATGCTCTAGAAAACCACGCGATGAGCTATTCCTGGACCACAATCTTACATCTGGGGGAACGTAAGCTACTAAGGGTTAGAGGTGTTTCCGTACGCTTTTAGAAAATTAATTTCAAACAGTTTATATGCAAATTTTCAAAGCAGTGTTCAAAGCAATGCAAATTCACAAGTACCGAATTACACAACAGATTCACAACAGATCACAAGTACACAACAGATTCACAAGTACACAACAGATCACAAGTACACAACAGATTCACAAGTACACAACGAATTCGCAAGTACACAACAGATCACAAGTACACAACGAATTCACAAGTACCGAATTGCACAACAGATTCACAACCGATTACAAGTACACAATAGATTCACAAGTACCGAATTTACATCAATAAATCTATCTTCTTGGTTAATAAGATATATAAAAACCTTTTTTACATTATACAATAATGGAATTCAATTTTTTTCAGCCGCAATGCTGTTGATGCGTTTCGAGTGAATGTGATCCATGCAAGACAACAGGTTTGTAGCCAAACTAACTACGAATTAACTAAATTAACTAAACTAACTAAGCAACCTAACTATGAAACTCGTATTTGCAAGAATTCAACTCCAACAATCTAAATTTTAGCATATAGAAGCTAAAATTTCGTTGTTGTCAAATGAATTCAAAATATTTTTGCTCAGGTTCGATCCCCAGTGACGAACATGGCGCGGACATCATTCTTCCATGTGAAACGGGGAAATGTTTGGGTGTGTGCGGTTAGCAAGCAAAATGTCAATGCGGCTATGGTTAGTTTTATAGAATATAAATTTCTAACCAAAAAATCTCTAAAAATCTCTAAAGAAATCAAAAATTGACCGAAAGAGATCAAGTAAAACTTCAATCTTCAGGTCTTCGAGTTTCTCAATCGTTTCGCCGACACCATGCAATCGTATTTCGGGAAACTCAACGAGGAAAACGTCAAGAACAACTTTGTCCTCATTTATGAACTCTTAGATGGTTTGTTTTGCTTATCAGCGCTTCACCAAACGTCTGTGGTTAACTGCTGGCCAATTTAGGTCTACGCATAGTTTACATGAGTCAAAGTTGGGTATTAATTGTTATAAAATGTACTACAGTTCATTATTTTACTACTGAACTTGCATTTGAATAACTAAACTGAGTTTGAGAGACAAATTTACCCGAAATCCCTCGCTTCGGACCCTTTGAAATTTTGACATTGATTGAATTGCCTTTGACATTGATTGAATGGTTGAATCGTTGACAATCTTTAGGAATTATTGAATCGTTGACAATTTCTCACTTTGCGTATCAACTGTATCATAAGGAATAAGTAGAATAAGGAGAAGAAGAAGAAGAAGAATAAGAAGAATAAGTAGAATAAGGAGAAGAAAAATAAGTAGAATAAGGAACAGGAGAGGAAGAAGGAGAAGAAGTAGAATAAGGAGAAGAAGAAGAAGAAGAATAATAAGGAGAATAAGAAGAATAAGCAGTATAAGCAGAAGAAGGAGAGAAAGAAGATGAAGAAGAATAAGGAGAAGAAGAATAAGCAGAATAAGCAGAAGAAGGAGAGGAAGAAGATGAAGAAGAAGAAGGAGAAGAGGTAGAACAAGGAGAAGAAGAAGAATAAGGAGAAGAAGAAGAAGAAGTAGAAGAAGGAGAGAAAGAAGAATAAGTAGAATAAGTAGAATAAGTACTACTTCTACCTAGATACTGTAGAATAAGTAGAAATAAGTAAAATTGTTAGTCACTAGCATTCGAATTCGTTGAGCTCTTAAAACTAAACGCAAAATTCTAGAGATCCTCGATTTCGGCTACCCGCAAAACACGGATCCGGGTGTCCTGAAGACTTTCATCACCCAACAAGGAGTCCGCACAGCAGTAAGTTTTCATAAAATCTTTCTTAAACCATACTAAATCAATCATTTTTATGAGGCACCGGTGCCAGTGGTAAGCGAAAATGTCGTTTCCCCTTGTGCTCTTGTTGAAATGAGAAAATCGTTAGAAAAATTTTGTTTAATCGTGCAATTTGTAGCTGAGTGTGCTTGCAAGAATGAGGAAAGCATCAGATTTTTGTTCAGACAAACAAACAGAAGATCAGCTTTAGAAAATCGACAAATTCTTGGGGAAGATACATTGAAAAGTATCAATATAAGAGATTCTGAGAGCTTTAAAACTGACAAAAATCTAATGCTTTTCTTAATTTAACATCCTTTGAGTCATTCTCGTTTTTGTGCGTGACTTTAGTAGCAATTTTCTAAAAGAAAAAAAAATTTAGACAAAAGAAGAACAGTCACAAATCACGTCACAAGTCACCGGACAAATCGGATGGAGAAGAGAGGGAATCAAGTACAGAAGGAATGAACTGTTCTTGGATGTGATCGAATATGTGAATTTGTTGATGAGTCAACAAGGTATGTTTTAGTTTTGATAAAAGTATTAGGTACATGCATAAGAAATGCGGATTTCAACATTTTCATAAATTTCCAGCGATAGAAACCTGATATCGATGAATGTTATCAATGAATGTTATAAACTATTTGAAAGTTGTAAATCTCCTCTACAAAATAGGCTAAAACGTGTTTCAATTGATCGAACCATTGAAGAAATTTCGAGGGCGAAATGCGAGTAACCAAGAAAGGAATCGAGTCACTTTAGGGACAAGTTTAGTGTGGTCAAAATAGAGTTAGCTTCCCGTTTACCGTCTAAAATTCCTCAAAATGTTCCAAGCCTTTGAAAAAGCTCAAATTCAACAATATAGTCTTATTATAGACAATATAGGTAACGCTTGATACATTGCAGACTTTATTGTATGCATGTTGTATGCAAATTTTGCTGTAAATAGTATAGGTAGTGGCTATAACAGGAAAGTACCGACATAGCTTGTTCTGGCGGTAAAGAGAAGGCGACGGCGAAGGCTATCCGCTTTACATACTAGTTTATCTAGAACTAATACTAGTTTACCTAGAACTAATACTAGTTTACCCATCTAACCAAAGCCGGACGGGGCAGAGCCTACAGAATTCGGATCAGCGAAGAGCTTCCTGGCTCATCTCTGGATTCGAACCAGAGACCAAACGAGCCCGACGTTGCTGAACTTGACAGATCCGACGGGGTACCGTGTTTCAATTTCAATTAAACCGAACGAGATATTCAAAAATAGAGCAGTTTTCTTTAAAAACTGATAACGGATTCGAATTCCTCATCCTCGAAAACCCTTAATTGTGAATTTTCAGCCAAATCGGCTTCAAAAAAAGTGCTAAATCCACGTATGGCCCACGGTGGGCCAAAAAGTACTAAATTCATGTATGGCCCACGGTGGGCCATTCGTGGATCGTCGCGAATGTGTTAATAATCAAAAGCTGTCAAAAACTGTAATTTTCATCGTTCATTTTCATCTTTTTCAGGTCAAGTTCTTTCTGCGCACGTTGCTGGCAAAGTTGCGATGAAGAGCTATCTCTCTGGAATGCCGGAATGCAAATTTGGAATCAACGACAAGATCACAATTGAGGGAAAGAATCGCTCCGGCACCGATGATCCGAATAAAGCGTGAGTAAAAAAGCGATACCAGTCTAGAAAAGCAGTCAAGCCGAATACCAGTCAAGCCGAATTTCGAACCTTTTCAGATCTCGAGCTTCTGTTGCCATTGATGATTGTCAATTTCATCAGTGTGTCAAGTTAAACAAATTCGACACTGAACACGCGATTTCTTTTATTCCTCCCGATGGAGAATATGAGCTAATGAGGTTTGGAAGGATCAAGATCAAATTTGATCAAGCTAATCGATTTTCTTTTCAGATATCGAACCACTAAAGACATTCAATTGCCATTCCGAGTGATTCCATTAGTCAGAGAAACGTCCAGAAATAAAATGGAGGTCAAGGTGAGAGCTGAAATCAAAAATTGAGGTCAAAATTGAGACAGTCACGTCAAGAATCAATGAATAAATAAAGGAAAAATCTTTAGGTTGTTGTCAAATCGAACTTCAAACCGTCACTTCTCGCGCAGAAGATCGAGGTTCGAATCCCGACCCCACCACACACAAGTGGAGTGCAATTGATTTGCATGAAGGGTAAAGCCAAGTACAAGGCTGGGGAAAATGCGATTGTTTGGAAGTAAGTAAAGTAAAGAAATCGCTCTTTATCTAAAGTTTTTCTAGAATCAAGCGAATGGGCGGCATGAAGGAGTCTCAAATTTCGGCCGAAATCGATCTTCTTAGCACGGGAAATGTGGAGAAAAAGAAATGGAATCGGCCACCAGTTAGCATGAATTTCGAGGTATTTTGGAAGGGAATCGATTCAATGACAAACAATAAACCACAAAGACAATTCAATGGCAAATTAGGCTCTGAATTTGATGAAGTTTAGAAGCTAATTGTAAGCTTAACAAGTAGATTTACGAAAAAATAGCAGCTCTTTTCGAAAGAATCGTCGTCCTGAAAGTTTTTTCGTTCCTTTTCGTTTATGATCAACCTACGTTTCACTTTTGAGTAAGGATAAGACTTAAAATCAATTTATAAAACTCAATAACGTCTTAAATAAATCTATAATCTATAATCTATAAGGTCTTCAATCAAACTATAAAGCTTGAATCTAGAAACTTCTAGTTCTTCCCTGAAGGGCTAGAGTAGTCGTCGTCTAAATTGCTCGAAATCTCGAGAACCGCTTATCAGAACCTATCGATGTGGGGTCGGAAAATGTAGCTGACGATGAGATCTAGTGGGGGATTAGAGTGTTGAGCTTCTGCAAAAGCTTGGAAATCGTAAAATAGTCACCAACTCGGCTCGCCGGGGTGCAGTACTATTAGAGAAAATACGGTATATTGAAATTGTGATTAAGATTTTCGAAGTCGATAAATTAAATTGGAAGGCTTAAGTAGATTTACGGGGAAAAATAGATGCCTAATCGGGGATTAAGGATTCTTTAGGATAACTGGGGAGGGGGGCCAGCGATTTTCGGGGAAGGGGGAGTAGGGTAAGTTCTTTGGTCAACTTGCAGCTCGTTTTTAAGCACCTTAGACTTGTCTGATCAGAAAGCCTTAATAAGATTTAGATAGCTTTGAACGCCAGCTTTCAATAACTATTTGTTTTATCAAAAGTTATTAACAAAAACCTATCAAAAATCGGTCTGCAAGTTGATCCAAAACTTGCCCCCTCCCCCGTTTATCCGTATTCGTAAAGCACCGGAATAAGGGTTTTCCCATCAACTTGTGCCTACTACTGTACAAGTATTGATTGCAACACCAGCACTCACATCTTTTAAGCAAAAAGCTTGTGATCAGTAAAACGTAAAATCTGGATCCTGCAACAGCCATTGAACAATTCTAATTCCAGGTTCCATTCGCTCCATCCGGCCTCAAGGTGCGCTACCTGAAAGTGTTTGAGCCAAAGTTGAACTATTCTGATCATGACGTCATCAAGTGGGTTCGATACATTGGACGCTCTGGCCTTTACGAAACACGGTGCTAGTTCATTCCTTGATCCCTAGAATCTCTAAAAGCATTTCTCTCATTGCCCACCTTTTCGGGCTCTTCCCAAAGCATAATTTATTATCTCTAACTTATTTCTCAAGCTCAATTTCACAATTTGTAGTGTTCTTTTTGTATAACTTGCCAATCTCTTATATTTCAATACATGTGATTATATTTATTATCTAATTTTTAAAAGCATTGCCATTTTTTTATGGCTATGGGCGGTTGTGCGTTGTCCCCGGATTTGCAATAGAGCTGAAACAGTGATCGATTTATTTTCGAGTTGTAAAATGTAGCCAGTTCTGTTCTATTCACATTCCCGTAAAAAGCTTATTTATCTGTATGACCCAAATTAGATGTTGTTTAATGTAAAGGATTAGAGGTGTTGAATAAATTTTATTTATTAGTATTTATTAGTATTTAAGCCAACATTTTACAACCGAGTCTTGTGCATTTTCAAAGATCTAATTCCTAGCAAACATTTATTTCTTTCCTATTTCTGTACAATGATCTTTAATTTCTGCCAGATTATCCAGAACAGAATCCACAAGTGACAGGGCATTGAACAACCATCACAGAGTAATAGGCAGAGCTTGAACACAAATATGAGAGGCGAGTACAATCAGAGACTCCAGTTGATGGGTTCACCAAATCGACACAAGCTGAAAGTTCAGTTTTGTCTTAGTAACAGACAAGTAACTGATTGTTTCGAGTAAACTCACTGGAATTTGTGGATGTCGATGATGTGCAATATCCACATGTTTTGCGGCATTGTTTCTTCATGAATGTCACATAGTAGCGTCTGAAAGCGACAGCTCATTAGTCGAAGTTGAACTTTCTCACTCCAGTTATCTTTAATCAAGCTTCTCACCAACCTTGTACAATATCCAATAGCAGCTCGAGCCGCACAATCAGAGACACCCGTCGCAGCATTCGTTAAGTCAACACAAGCTGGAGTTGTAGTTGTTGAAGTTGAAGAAGATGTGTTCGATACAACAGAAGCAAGAGGACAGCATTGAAGAGACCCATCGGCGAATGTGGCACAAATAGCCGTTGTACCGCATGCTGATCCATCAACTGCCGTGGGACAAGCTAAAGAATGTTTGGGTAATTTGTCGAAAGAAAACAACTCACGTCCAGTAGCTACTGTGGTAGAGGCACAAGATGTTGAACGGGCAACTTGAATGAAGACAAGGAGCAGAGTTGATTTGAGGAGAGAACACATTTTGATTGATTTGAATTCTTGAGCCGAGTTGATAACTATCCATAATTTTTGGCCCTTTTATAGCATCCAAAATCTAATTGCAACAAAGGATTAAACTTTCACGAGATCTGAATAAACAAATCGACAATGGAAAGCAAAACGTGTGTCAGCTCACAGCAAGAAGAAACAATTGCTTTGTATTATTTTAGTGTTTTTCTAGAAGCTGTCTAAACAGTGTCAAACGTGAAAGTGTGCTCGTTGTTTAGAAGGAGAAAATAGATGTAAATGGGTTACTCAAATATGAATTTCAAATGGGAAAACAGAACATTTGAGTCTAATTTGCAGAAGATGAGTAGAAAAGGTTCAATATTGGTTTCACTTTTAGAAATGTTTGCATAGGTTTTGGCACGGTTAATCACGTACAAGATTGTTGTAGAAGAATGTTGCTATATAAGGACCACGAAAATCCCGAGAATCCATCAAATCCAGTTCAGTCATTCATAACAAGATGTGTTCTCTCCTTAAATCAATTATTCTTTTTGTCTTTGTCCATGTGGCCCGTTCAACATCTTGTGCATCTACCACAGTAGCTACTGGACGTGAGCAAGCTCTAACAGTTTCTCTATAAAAAACATTTTAGCTTGTCCCACGGCAGTTGATGGATCCGCATGCGGTACAACGGCTATTTGTGCCACATTCGCCGATGGGTCTCTTCAATGCTGTCCTCTTGCTTCTGTTGTATCGAACACTTCAACTTCTACAACTACAACTCCAGCCTGTGTTGACAGAACAAATGCTGCAACGGGTGTCTCTGATTGTGCGGCTCGAGCTGCTATTGGATATTGTACAAGGTTGGTGAGAAGCTTGATTAAGGATAGCTGGACTGAGAAAGTTCAACTTCCACTAATGAGCTACCGCTTTCAGACGCTACTATGTGACATTCATGAAGAAACAATGCCGCAAAACATGTGGATATTGCACATCATCGACATCCACAAATTCCAGTGAGTTATTTTCAGAGCTGGCCGTCAACTGTACTACAGTTTACAAGACAAAAACCAATTCAGGCTGTGTGAATCTTGTGAACCCATCAACTGGAGTCTCTGATTGTACTCGCCTCTCATATCTGTGTTCAAGCTCTGTCTACTACTCGGTGATGCGAGTCCAATGCCCAGTCACTTGTGGATTCTGTTCTGGATAATCGCAGAAAAAATAATGCGAAACATGTACAAAATAGGTCGAATAAAACTCTTGAATATCCGATTTTGAAATAGGCACACAACAGTCCCGTTCAATTACATGCTCAATTGCTTGATTGCTCAAATTAAATTTGGTTCTCTTACACACTCGAAATTCATAATTTCATGATAATTTCCAAAATAAATTTTTGTTTGGTTAACATGAACAAGCACCAAAAAATGTAGCATTTTTGGATCGAAACTTTCGAGAGAGAAAGTTTGAGAATGAACTTTCGTTAAAATAAGAAGGAAATCAAAACTGATGCGCCTAAAATAGGATTGAAGATCTTTGATCCGTAAGAGTCTACCGTAAATACTGTAATAGTACCCTGCCCCCATAATGACGATGCGGAGTGTTGCGTAGTCTAGCTTTGAACGAGTTTTTCTCGACACTGGTTTATGCTACAATGCGCGCTTAGGTATCAAAAAATAGCCCTGAATTTCAGCTATTTTTTGATACCAAAGACGCACTTTTTGAAAGTACGGGCGCTTTGAAAAAAAATGAAATACTAAAAAACTTTTGCGACTACGCGACTGTACGAGGGAGGTGGGGTACTATTACAGTATTTACGGTATGTAATTCACTCGATTTCAACATAGAAGATACATATTTCGTGAGCTCTCTGTCAAAAAATGAAAAACTTTACTACTTTTTTACCATTTAACAGCGCGGTACAAGATTTCCAAAATCTCAATGCACTCAAATCAGTACTTGCGATTTATAATGCATAATTATAATGCAAATTTGCATATCTGCATGTAAACTGTATTTTGCAAGTTTACATATGTAAATTTAGTAAAAGATAGGCAAATTTCGTTTGCTTTTGCTTTTGCTTAGGCTTTTGCTTACGTGAAAAAAAGCGCAAGTATCCTCAAACTGTTTTCAACTATGCGATAAGATTTCTCATGATTCTGTTTACTTACAGCCATAATCGAAATCGTTTTAAAAGTCGTTTAAAAAGTCGAGAAATCGTTTAAAAAGTGTTTCAGCAAGTGTTTGTTGAGAAGTCAAAAAGGTTTAAATGCACATGAGTTGTCTATCAATAGGTTACGGAAACTTTTCCAAAGTTAACACACTTGCAAAGCCACTTTTGGCTTGGTTGCCGTTTCGGACGACAGTTATCTATGTTAGCTACACTACTGGACAATCAAATATCATATTTGAAAAACGATCGTCACTTTCGCACGTCTGTAACTTCCTTGTCTTTACCGTATTTCTAAATATTAATATGACCATTGTGTAGCCCTTGAAAAGAGCTTTCAGAAAATGTATAACACTAATAGTTTAAACTCAAAGACAAGGGAGTTGCAGACGCGCGAAAGTGACGATCGTTTTTCAAATATCATATTTCATTGTCCAGTACTGTAGCTGACAATGAGTAACCTATTGCAATTTCTCGTGTGCCTAAGCTGCAAGAACCGAGTGGAGGCTTCACAATTCATCCACTCAGTGTATGAAACCTCTCAAACTTGCGTAATTAAACCAAGGCACCAACACAACCAAGGCTCAAGAAATCTTGTATTTTGGTGCTAAATGGTAAAATAGTAGTAACGTTTTTTATTTTTTGACAGAGAACTCTCAAAACATGTATCTTTTATGTTGAAATCGAGTGAATTACATAAATGTATCAAAGATCGTCAATCCGATTTTTTTAGTGGAGCTTAGGGAGTGGAGCTTGCGTAATTAAACCAAGGCACCAACACAATGGAAAATGCGTCGATTTTTGTAACTCAAATGATCGATCAGGATTAGATGCTGATTTAGACGAATGATGGAACAAAACAAAAAGAAGCATTGCCAAAGTAAGCTTATCATTTAATCTTTCAAAGACAGGTTTAGGTTGCATTTTTCATTTGCATTTCACATTTGCATTTCTCATTTGCATTTTTCTGGAATTTGTTTCAAATTTAGCAAGTAATGTTTCGTCTAAACACATTTTTTCGTACGTTAATTCTTTGTTTTTCGTCAAATAATGTGGAAAAGATCATGAAATTATGAATTCCGAGTGTATAAGAGAACCAAATTTAATTTGAGCAATCAAGCAATTGAGCATGTAATTGAACGGGACTGTTGTGTGCCTATTTCAAAATCGGATATTCAAGAGTTTTATTCGACCTATTTTGTACATGTTTCGCATTCTTTTTTCTGCGATTATCCAGAACAGAATCCACAAGTGACTGGGCATTGGACTCGCATCACCGAGTAGTAGACAGAGCTTGAACACAGATATGAGAGGCGAGTACAATCAGAGACTCCAGTTGATGGGTTCACAAGATTCACACAGCCTGAATTGGTTTTTGTCTTGTAAACTGTAGTACAGTTGACGGCCAGCTCTGAAAATAACTCACTGGAATTTGTGGATGTCGATGAAGAAGTGCAATATCCACATGTTTTGCGGCATTGTTTCTTCATGAATGTCACATAATAGCGTCTGAAAGCGACAGCTCATTAGTGGAAGTTGAACTTTCTCAGTCCAGCTATCTTTAATCAAGCTTCTCACCAACCTTGTACAATATCCAATAGCAGCTCGAGCCGCACAATCAGAGACACCCGTCGCAGCATTTGTTCTGTCAACACAGGCTGGAGTTGTAGTTGTAGAAGTTGAAGTGTTCGATACAACAGAAGCAAGAGGACAGCATTGAAGAGACCCATCGGCGAATGTGGCACAAATAGCCGTTGTACCGCATGCGGATCCATCAACTGCCGTGGGACAAGCTAAAATGTTTTTTATAGAGAAACTGTTAGAGCTTGCTCACGTCCAGTAGCTACTGTGGTAGATGCACAAGATGTTGAACGGGCCACATGGACAAAGACAAAAAGAAGAATTGATTTAAGGAGAGAACACATCTTGTTATGAATGACTGAACTGGATTTGATGGATTCTCGGGATTTTCGTGGTCCTTATATAGCAACATTCTTCTCCAACAATCTTGTACGTGATTAACCGTGCCAAAACCTATGCAAACATTTCTAAAAGTGAAACCAATATTGAACCTTTTCTACTCATCTTCTGCAAATTAGACTCAAATGTTCTGTTTTCCCATTTGAAATTCATATTTGAGTAACCCATTTACATCTATTTTCTCCTTCTAAACAACGAGCACACTTTCACGTTTGACACTGTTTAGACAGCTTCTAGAAAAACACTAAAACAAGACAAAGACGTTGTTTCTTCTTGCTGTGATCTGGCTCACGTTTTGCTTTTCATTGTCGTTTTATTTATTCAGATCTCGTGAAAGTTGAATCCTTTGTTGCAATTAGATTTTGGATGCTATAAAAGGGCCAAAAATTCTGGATAGTTATCAACTCGGCTCAAGAATTCAAATCAATCAAAATGTGTTCTCTCCTCAAATCAACTCTGCTCCTTGTCTTCATTCAAGTTGCCCGTTCAACATCTTGTGCATCTACCACAGTAGCTACTGGACGTGAGTTGTTTTCTTTCGACAAATTACCCAAACATTCTTTAGCTTGTCCCACGGCAGTTGATGGATCCGCATGCGATACAACGTCTATTTGTGCCACATTCGCCGATGGATCTCTTCAATGCTGTCCTCTTGCTTCTGTTGTATCGAACACATCTTCTTCAACTTCAACAACTACAACTCCAGCTTGTGTTGACTTAACGAATGCTGCGACGGGTGTCTCTGATTGTGCGGCTCGAGCTGCTATTGGATATTGTACAAGGTTGGTGAGAAGCTTGATTAAAGATAGCTGGAGTGAGAAAGTTCAACTTCGACTAATGAGCTGTCGCTTTCAGACGCTACTATGTGACATTCATGAAGAAACAATGCCGCAAAACATGTGGATATTGCACATCATCGACATCCACAAATTCCAGTGAGTTTACTCGAAACAATCAGTTACTTGTCCGTTACTAAGACAAAACTGAACTTTCAGCTTGTGTCGATTTGGTGAACCCATCAACTGGAGTCTCTGATTGTACTCGCCTCTCATATTTGTGTTCAAGCTCTGCCTATTACTCTGTGATGGTTGTTCAATGCCCTGTCACTTGTGGATTCTGTTCTGGATAATCTGGCAGAAATTAAAGATCATTGTACAGAAATAGGAAAGAAATAAATGTTTTCTAGGAATTAGATCTTTGAAAATGCACAAGACTCGGTTGTAAAATGTTGGCTTAAATACTAATAAATATAATTTATTCAACACCTCTAATCCTTTACAATAAACATGTGTGTTCTCCTTTACAATTTATGTGTCATTGATGTTTCATTAAACTTTGCCATCAAAAGATTTGGTCAAATGGCTTTACTTGAGACACCACTGGGCAAAAGATCAGAACAAAACCGAGATCATGTAGAGAAATTCGTAAACATAAAATTTACTAGTGAAATATACATGTATTGGGTAAATACCTGAACAGAAAGCGGATAAGCGATTAGATCGAGAAGAAGAAGAAAAAAGAGAACACAAAATGCCAAGCAGCAATGAAAAGGCAAAAAAAGAACATAGCGGAAATTGTCGAGAATGAGCTTTGGCAAAAATTCAATAAGTAATTTGGACGTTCCTAAGGAAATCCTGTGCCTCTTTGTCCTCTTTTCGATTACCGAGAACCTCGAAAACGTCAGTGCCTGGAAATGAGTTGTATAAAGGGATTTCTTTTGTTATAAAACTATTTCTTGAAGATAAAGCTTGCTATCTTGCTCTTGAAGACTTACAGTTGTTGACAGGATGAATCAAGACGAGATTGAACTGTCGCAACGTCGAGGCACCACCCGGTAAGAAGCCAGGAACCTAAATAGCCTCAATAAATCAGATTTCTCAATCTTAGCTCTTAAAAAAGCTTTTAAGCTCAATACTCACATCAGCCAATTCCAAATACGCCTCTCCAGCAAAGTCATTTGATCGCAAATAATCGTGGTCCATGACAGTGAAGTGAATCAAGGCACAGGCAGAGGCTTTTTGAGGGATGTGGCTGAAAACTCATTATTAATGTAAGGATTTGTTAAAGCTTACAATTCAAAAGTCTCATCGAAGATCGGGTTGAGCGTCTTCGGAACGACTTTCGTTTTCAAAACGGGCTGAGAGGAGAAACGGGCTTTTGGCACAAGCTCAATGACGACAAATGGATCGGAGAGACCGTTTGTGTCAAGAGGAATCACTTGTTTGGCACCGATCACTGGAAATTAATAAATTATTAGGCTATCCAGCGGGAAGAACAAGCTTTAGATTCCTTTCCATTTAGAGAAACAAATCAGCAAATTGAAAAAAACTATCTATTAGGTTGTCCAGAAAGTCTTTTCGCTCCTTTTCGTGTTTCCGCTTAAAATCAACAAATATGCCGATTGAAATACGGGTTGTTTCATTAGAAAAGCCAATATATTTCTGCAAAATAGCAAAAACGGGTTTGAAATGTCGGCTCTTGCGTAGTTTCCGGGTCTTTTGAAAGAATCCTGGGATTTGGAAAAATCCGGGTATTTTGAACGGATCGTCACGCTTTGAAGGCTTATAACTTTATCTAAAACTCATACTTTTGTTAACTCTTTTTATATTTGTACAGAGGACATTTCAGGCTTTCAAATGATACCAAATAGAGTTTGACTGGGTTTTTCAATCCCATGCAAACAAGGCTCCACGACACCCGAGTGGATAGGCCTCATTTGCTCGGAGTGGGCTCTGATTTTCTTCAGTAGAATCAAATCAGCAATCAAATCTTTATATCATTGTACAGACGACATTTCAGGCTTTCAAATGATACCAAATAGAGTTTGATTGGATTTTTCAATCCCATGCAAACAAGGCGACACGACACCCGAGTGGATAGGCCTCATTTGCTCGGAGTTGGCTCTGATTTTCTTGGGCTGGATTATCCAAACAAACTCTATTTAGCATCATTTGAAAGCCTGAAATGTCATCTATACAATGATATAAAGAGTTAACAAAAGTATGAGCTTTAGAAAAAGTTATAGACCTTCAAAGCGTGACGATCCGTTCAAAAGATCCGGAAACTACGCAAGAGTCGACATTTCAAACCCGTTTTGCTATTTTTGGCCTTCAAAGTATGACGACCCGATCAAAATACCCGGATTTTTATGAAAAACAGGTTTTCACTCTCGAATTTGCTTGAAAATGAGCCTAAATTGATTTAAAAAGATGGGAATTGAACAATAAACGCTTCTTATTTAGAGTAAATTATAGGTTAATTGATGAATTTGTTATTGTTCAATAAGAAAAGGAACGAAAAAACTTTCTCACAGCTTAATAGTACAAGTTTGTAAGCTTTGTCTCACCATCAAGCACAAGTGTTTGCGATTTTGCATTGTAGTAGGCACGTAAGTTGAGAATCCCGTATTTGCAATCGGTCACTTCGTTCTAAATTCCCATTTTATCTTTGTTCAAGGTTTTATCAAAGCAATGCCACTCAAAAATGAATCAAAGTACCGTCTTGATCTGGTCATAAATGTCATGCTGATCAGTGTTTGATAAGCTTGAATTCGTTTGGTGTTTACCTGTTGTTTCAGAAGTTCTTTGTAGTATTTTTCAATCAGTTGATCGGTGGGAGTTTGATTGAGGGAAAGGCATTTGACAAGATCCTAAAAGTTTTGAGATTTTTAAGTGCTCAGACTCCCAGAGAATCCTAGACTCCCAGAGAGAATCCTAGACTCCCAGAGAGAATCCTAGACTCCCAGAGAGAATCCTAGATTCCCAGAGAGAATCCTAGACTCCCAGAGAGAATCCTAGACTCCCAGAGAGAATCCTAGACTCCCAGAGAATCCTAGACTCCCAGAGAGAATCCTAGACTCCCAGAGAGAATCCTAGACTCCCAGAGAGAATCCTAGACTCCCAGAGAGAATCCTAGACTCCCAGAGAATCCTAGACTCCCAGAGAGAATCCTAGACTCCCAGAGAGAATCCTAGACTCCCAGAGAATCCTAGACTCCCAGAGAATCCTAGACTCCCAGAGAATCCTAGATTCTCTGGAACATGAATTGAAATTCGAAAATCTTTCTAGATTTCAGTTTATTAACCAACCACATGCCGCGGGGTTGTGTCAAGCTGTTCCATCGAAATCCCCTTTCCGCCAGCATGGAAGAAATCCACGAGAACTCCCCAAGCATCGAAAAGTCTTTGATAGAATTGAGGCTCCATCTAAAACAAAGATTAAAATCGAGAACGACAGCCTAATAAATGGCTTTCTGGACAGTCTAAGACAGTCTAATAAATGTCTAAATGGATTCAGCTTACAAAAATCACTCATTAAAGCCCTTACCCCAGAATTCTCATCAACACAATCCTTCAACAACTTCACAACCGAGACCGCTTGAATCGAGAGAACTCGCAAGAAGTTCTTGTGCAGCAATTGGCGATGCACAGCTGACAGTTCAATGTCCAACTGAAAAACTATGCTTATCAAAAATGTAGCTTTCAAAAAGGCTTTCAAAAAGGCTTTCATTACCATATCAGTCAACGGCTTCAACGAATCTTCAACGGCACAAGCGGCTGGAGACCAAGCCAAGTGAAAGACGTGTTTCTTCATTTGGGGCAGAAGTCTTCTGAAAGCTTGTAATATAAGTTTTAGGTCTCAGAATTAGAAAAGCTACTGATCAATCAATAGATTTACTTGATTAACATCTCGATCATACGATCGATTTCTGAGCAGATCGCCTCATCGCACTCCTCCAAACGGCGCTCGATTAGCTGCCTCCACTTTGAGCCTCCCTAGAAGATCCAAGTTTAACAATTTAATAGCTATATGACAATTAATAGACAACTGATATGACAATAAAGTTTAATGTGACAATATAGTTTAATATAACAATATAGCTAATATGAAAATATAGCTATCGGTATTGTATCTACAGAAAAACTATAGACAAGACTCGAAATTTCAAAAGTTTACACAAGAAAATACCTTTTGATCTCGTTCATCTTTTGGTCCTAAATCTTCGAGCCTCAACTTTTCATGTACCATCAAAGCTCGTCTCACATGCTCACAATTGTTGATCGCCGAACAGAACTAAACCTTTTGATAAAGTAGACGTTTCTCTTTTTACTCACAATGCTCAAAAGAGCCGATGGTAAGAAGACTTGAAGCTCTCCTTGGAAACCCTCAGCTTCCAGTTGTTGAATGGTCTGAAATGGGACTGAAATGATCCTGAAAAGGCATGCTATTCGATGGATTAAATCGGATCAGAGCGGATTGGATCGGCTTTCGGATCAGATCAGAGCAGATCGGATCGGCTTTTGGATCGGATCGGCTTTCGGATCGGATCAGATCGGCTCGGCATTCGGATCGGATCGGATCGGCTTTCGCATCAGATCGACCTTCGGATCGGATCGGCTTTTGGATCGGATCGGCCTTTGGTTCGAGATTCAATCCGATCCGATCCGAAGATTTGGGATTTTGGATCCGATCCGATCCAAAAAGATGCGATTTCATCCGAAATATTGTAACAATTAATCGCCTTTATGCGTATTGTAGCTTGTTATTCTTTTTAACCATTTAAAGCTATTCAGTTATCGATTTGAATAGCGTAATTGTACTTCATTTACTTTTTTTCTGAGTGATGTTTGTTATGTTATTGATTTTGCGCTGAGTAATGACTAGAGTTTAGGTTTTTTCTATATTTTTAACGTTCTGAGTACAACCTGCGTGCTGAAAGTAGTTTTTAGCCCGTAGAAATGCTGTGAACTAACTTGCAAAGGCGTATTTCATTAGAGTCAAAAATCGGCTAAATGTTCCTTTGATTCTAATTAGCTCTTTGATCCGATCAGAAAAGTTGAGACTTTGAATCCAATCGGAGCGATCAGATCTAGCGGTCAGATCGGAGCGATCAGATCTAGCGATCAGATCTAGCGGTCAGATCGGAGCGATCAGATCTAGCGATCAGATCTAGCGGTCAGATCGGAGCGATCAGATCTAGCGATCAGATCCAATCCAATCCGACCCGATTGGATCCGATCCAATCCGATCCGATCCGGCAAAAATTTGTTCGGATAACATGTCTAATAAGTTAGCAAAAAGTTGTTCTTCATAATCTAATCAGCTTCTTCCTCTACAAGTTTTCTGGCTCACCTTGAAAGCATAGGTTTTAACGACTTCACACAACAGATCAACAAATCTCTCGGTGAGCTCGGCACGCAGTTGCGCGTCAGTGATCTCACATCGTTCCCAACCGACTGTCATCTGGAATAGTTTGTGTTTAGCAAAAGTTTAAACGAAGATCTTTTCAGTAACAATAGAAGATCTTTTCAGTAACAATAGAAGATCTTTTTAGCATCAACAAGCTTCAAAGTACCTGTTCAATAATGTGACAAATGTCGACATGACTACTCGATTGTTTCATATCGTTGGCACCGGCAGTAATCTGAATTGTGAAATCAAAAATGGTATAAAGAATTTATATTTTGTGACGTTATCAACTTAAACTTTGATTTAGAAAGCAGATTTTAGAAAGCAGATCACTTACCGGCATATCAAGTTGACAGGCTAATGCTACTCTTGCCAAAGCTTTATCCCTGGCCACATCCAAGAACTTCTTGATCCCTCTATTGAAGATATCACTCCACTCGGGTTCATCTCTTACTCGACTAAAACGATTTCCTAAGCAAAAACATGCAAACTAACAAAACTAACACTCTATTAGCCAAACGATGATTCCTCAGCTCTACAAAAGAAATGTGAATCCGTAGAAGATCGATGAGATCATCATCTGACGGAGGATCAGCTGCAGCTAGCCTCAGTTGACTCTTTAGATCCGTTTTCTTCTCGGACATCAACTCAGAAGTCAAGTATTCACATAACTAAAGTAATGAAATTATTGTATAGATTGTGTTAATAGATAGATAGACATAGATTCAACTCACTAATGTATCAAAAGTGGAAAGAGTGATGTGAGCATAGTCGGCGCGAGCGATTTCTCGAATTGCCGCTGAGAAGTGAAGGAATTTTGAACAAGCCGAGTTCATTCGAGTGAGAATGCTAAACGAAAACTATTGTTCATTAACTGTTGTTCATTAACTATTGTTGATTAACTATTGTTCATTAACTGTTGTTCATTAACTATTGTTCCTTAACTATTGTTCCTTACTGTTGTTGATTAACTATTGTTGATTAACTATTGTTGATTAACTATTGTTCATTAACTGTTGTTCATTAACTATTGTTCATTAACTGTTGTTCATTAACTATTGTTCAAGCTATTTGTTGAAAGTTCTATTAGTCTCTAATTTCTGATCACCTCAACAACTCCTTGCAAGGATCATCATCTTGCGCTTGTTCGACTGAGTGCGCAAACCAAACGTCAGCCGATTTCTAAACAATTGTTAGTTATTGGCTGGGTTAGTTATTGACAATCTTGAGCAATTTTTACGTCACAAATTTAGCTTTCTTACCGCTAAAAGTGACTCAATGTGCGCAACGAATGGCCTCTTTGCTGTCAAGAACTTGGAGAAAAAAGTGCTCTCTCGAAGGCTTTTCATGCATCTAAAGTTCTTTTATTCTCTTGTTTCTGTAGTGAATTAATGAATGATTTATAGTACCCCCTTATTCGGGATCCCTACTACCGTACCCACCACCACCTGGTAGGATAAAAATTAAAATGGAGTTGCACTACGGGAGGTCGAACCCGGATCGTGTGGGTTGTAGACAAGCGCACTTTTGACTGCCGTGACAACTTTCGGCTAGCCAAAAACCAGTCGGATATTTTTCAGGCTGGTTTCTGTCGCCATGGCGCAGTCGGGAGCGCGCTTTTCTACGGCCTACACGATCCGTTCGATCGTTCGATCGTCCGTCCGACCATTCAAAGAATGAATGAATGAATGAATGAATGAATTAAATGAATTAAATCTAATCAATCAATGAAATTCTTGGCTTAATACACACTTGATCAACGAGCTGAACTCTTCTCCGCTATTCCTTTTGGCTGGAGCGAATCGTTCACGGTGCTCCAACAGCACTTTCTTGCAATGAGCATCAAAATGATGAAATGATTCGAGTAAGAGATTTTCTTCTTCCTGAAATGATTCCGTTCCCCAAGTTGCAAACCTCAGCAATAAGCTTAAGCTCACCTTTTCTAAAGCCATCGGTTTCCACTTCTCGAGTAGGGTATGAAGAGTTTGATGGAGTAATGTGAAAGAGATATCGATTGGAATCATTGAATGAAAGGCCAGCCATTTGCTGAAAATGTTATTGTAAAGTTGGTTGCTATGGTGGACTGGCTAAAAGCTCCGTATCTTAGTTGGGTGGTCAAGAGTTCAATCCCTAGATTATTGGTTCTTTTTCCCATATATATGTTACTTCCGATTTAGAACTAAAGCAATAAAGCCATTTCTTTCAAAAGTAAATTGCCATTTAATCGTGATTTTTCATTTAACGCCTAAATTGTGATTTTGTCTGAACTATTGCATACCATAAAATTATTCAAAACACTTTGGAACGCAAGGTCCGCATTCGGCACAAAATCTCAATGACAGGAAAGGCACAGAGATCTAAGTGACCGGAAAGGCACAGAGATCTCAGTGACCGGAAAGGCACAGAGATCTCAGTGACAATAAAGTCACGATTATATTATAGATTCCTATGACTTTTTGTCACTAAAATTCCCAGGAGAATCAGCCGGAGCTGGGAGAATCAGGTAATAGCCTAGGAGCCACGTGGTTCTAAGGTGCGGAGTCGTAGCTCAGGGAAATATAGATCTCTATAATACTGTAGCATACTGTAGCATAAAGGAGTGCGAAGAAAGGGATGTTCAAAGTTAGACTACCCGACTGTACGCTCATCGATGCCCATTATGGGAGTAGCGTTCTATTAAAGTATTTACGGTAAATTTGATTCCCGAACGCTCTATTATAGAAAATTATAGTTATAGATTATAGAAAATTTCATAGATGATCAATTTTTGAATGAGAACTTACTATTAGCCTCTAAGCCTGTTGCCCAATCTATGCAAAGAATTTTCTAGGTTCTCACTTGACTCTAGCTGATAAGGTGAAAGGAATAGGGTTGAGATTTAGGTCTTGGCTGATGATACAGCTGTCACTTCTGATCCCTTGTTAGGGCTTTTGCTTGTGTGTTATTTGTTTCACATTATTCGTGTGAATGAATTTAGTTTTTAGAAACTCTTCAATATCTAGTTTAAAACTCTAGTTTAACTCTTCAATATCTTTGTTTCATTTTCATATTTCATTTTCATCAAAATTTCACCAACCACATCCAAACTTGTACATCATCTAGATCGCCCTGAATAGCGTGCTGTCGAAGGATACAAGTCGGCTTATCAGGGAAATATCCATCCCACATACGAACGGGAGACTGAATAAGTAATTTGCAGCGATTAAAGGTACGATTAAAGGTACCCTTCCATCATAACCTTTTATAGTTTAAGTTCTGAATTCTTTAATAACTTATATATTAATAACTTTATAGCTCCTTTATAGCTCCTATTTGGTTCCTTTAAAGTCCCTTTATAGCTCCTTTATAGCTCCTATTTGGTTTAATAACTTTAATAACTTATAACTCCTGCAACAACTCACCCCGCTTTGCCGGATCTCGTAAAGAGCAAACTGCCTGCTCAACTCAATGTGCTCTTTCACATCCAACATATCCTCCTCATCACCGATTCGATCTTCTCTTGTACTCAGCCACATCTAAACTTTGATTAAACTTTGATTAAACTCTATTTGAGCTAGAATAGCTTTGAGCTTTAAGTTAAGCTTTTCAAATCTCTTGCAAAAAAAACCTTCAATCGAACAGTCCCGGAGACTTTCGATCTGTCACTTCTTGGCTCAAGCTTCACCCATTGCTCGATTCCTTCAGGAGGGATTTTCTAAAATCATTTTAAGCTCAAGAATTTGGCATTTTCATAGCTTTAATTTTTATAGATTTAATTTTTATAGCTTTAATTAAAACTTACATCAAGATCAAGATTTATACAGCCGAGGAAATCATCGGTGCTGTCATCGGAGTCAGCTCTGGCAGATTGAGTGACTTCTTTGAAATATCGGCCAAGACCCTAGAATTGTAGATTATTGTAGAATTCAGAAATCAAACTTAGAAATCAAAAAAGATAGCTGAATCAGAGCCCAAGCCATTCTTATGATGCAGTACAAAGCTAACAAAGTTTATTTCGTACTTTTAAACCGCCACTGATCTGATTGAGAGTCGAGACCGCGTCTAAGACAGATTGCTCTTCATCATCGTGATCCCTAAACGTGAAAAATATTGGAATACTTTTAATAAATATGAATATGAATCAATCTAGTGTTTACAGTTATATTGCCCTCCTAAAGATTATTTACGAGAAGTATCATAACTGTAGCTATGAACACATAAAGTCTTGTCTCACATACGCAAAGTTTTATGTTACAATAAGATTTTCTAACACTTTCAGCTAGTTAATCTACTTACGACCGGATCAATAATATCTTGTTAATCTTAATCTATTGGGTTGGTGAATTGAAAACTGCGGGACTTTGAACTAAAATTTATTCAACATAAAACCATGAATTCATTCCAAATAATTTCCATTATTATTGACGACTTCTGCCCATTTTACAGGCAATTTGCGGATTCCTCTTTCGTAGTAGGATTTTGGTTTGTGTGTGAGATAAGTGTGAGACTCAAAAATGGAGGACTGGAGATGTCAGCTGTCAGCCCAGTTTGAGCACTTTCTTCAAAAGAAACTCATTTTGGTGTCAATAGAAAAGTTGTAGAGAATCAAAAATTAGGTTTATAGCCAAATTTCCAAAAAGATACACTTAGTAGCTTTGCTTAAAATGCAAGTTTTGTTGCAAGCTTTGTGAAAATTCGTAAATTTGGCATTGCTTGAAAACTAGTTTTTGAATCGTTCTGAAAATTTGGATATAAGCTTGATTTTTGATTCTCTACAACTTTTCCATTGACACCAAAATGGGTTTCTTTTGAAGAAAGTACTCAAACTGGGACTTATGACAATAGCCCGCAGTTTTCAATTCACCAACCCAATAGCTTGGGTATATGGATTGCTGGATTCCAGGCCTGTAGCCAGGGTGGAGGGCAAAACGTAGCCTTGAACAGGCGGCTCTCTAACCCTATTCTTAATGGAAGTTTAACTAACCAAATATCGATATGAAATCGATCAGTCGTGGAGTCATCAACAATGAATTGAAATTTCTCATTCCATTTCGGGTTTAGAGTTTTGTTCTAAAGATGGGTTTTGATAGAGAGTTAAATTGAAAACTAATAGTAAGCTTTGAATTTTGCTTTTTGAATTTAAAAGTTTTAAAAGTTACCTGTACTGAAGAGGCTTTGATTAGCTTTGCGGGAATTCCTTGCCCTTCATCCAATGGCCCGCGAATTTTGTCCTTCTTCGGTTTTCGTCGAAATGATCCTCCAAATCGTTGCAAAACTCCATCCTTTTGTTTTCCCTAAAATTCGTTAATTTTCATTATCAGTTTGTCCTTTATTTCTAACATTTAAAGCTTTGGTTTTGTCTAAACGATAGTTTTGTTTTGTTTTAGGACAAGCATTCCACTCCATAACACGCAGATTTTTTTTTGATAGATTTTGATAGATGGGAAATTTTCAGCGGATTTTTTTTTCGGCCCGTTGACCTCAAGCAAGGGTTATTGTAATGAGCAAATGACTTGAAATTTCGATAATTTTATTAAATTTTCATTCCCAAGTCACTTGTGGTTATCTAATACGATGGAGCTACTCGCAAAATTGTGCTTACGTCAAACGAGGACAGGTGATGGAGATGAGAGTCTTCCGGCGTCTAGTTGAACGGGTTTTTTTCAAGTAATTAGATTACAAAACTTTAATTTACGAGTTAATTATATTGGCTTGCAGTTGTGAATGGAAAAGCAGAAAAAAAAAATCACCTGTGGCCCTGGGGAGGCATTCTCGGTGTCCGCTCCTGGGCCAAGAGTCTGCGGGCTGGTACGCTTCCCGGGAACAACGCCCATCATTGCGAAGGGATCGGAGAAGCCTAGATAAATTGATAATCAAAGCACCAATTGAATTATGGTTTGTTTCATTAAAAAGGCCAATTATTTCTCCGCAAAATAACATTAAAACTGGTTTAAAATGGAGGCTCTTACGTAGTTTCCGGGTTTTGAAAGAATCCGAGTATTTTGAACGGATCGTCACGCTTTGAAGGCTTATAACTTTGTCTAGAGATCATACTTTTGTTAACATTTTATATCTTTGTACAGAGGACATTTCAGGCTTTCAAATGATGCCAAATAGAGCTTGACTGGATTTTTCATTCTCATGCAAGCCAGGCGACACAACATCCGAGTTAGATAGGCCTTTTCCTGGACTGGATTATCCAATCAACCTCTATTTAGTATATTGAAAGCCTGAAATGTTCTCTGTACAATGATATAAAGAGTTAACAAAAGTATTATCTCTAAACAAAGTTATAGGTCTTCGAAGTGTGATGACCCGTTCTGATCCGTGACGGTCCGACGACCCGTGACTAGATTATTAGATTATTTAGATAGGTTAATTGGTGGATTTATTCGTTTAGTTTCATTAAAAGGCTCCACTATTTCTCTATAAAATGCCAAGGTCTCAGAAAGATCCCTTCAACAGTTTTCTCTAAATGACTGCTTATAAATTTGCTTATGTTTATAATGTTTAAAAATGGCCTTTTGTTGAGCTAAAGCGCTGTTTGAGATCTCTTTTTGAATGCCATTTTGTAGAAAATTAGTTAATCTTTTTACTGATATCAAACGCGTATCATTTGACAATGAGAAGTTTTAGAAATTTCTTTGATTTTCATTCCCCAACCCAATATATAGCGAATCCAGTGGTCATATGATCTTTGCCTTTGCTCGATCCCATTAACAATCCAAGTTCTAACAAAATACCTTTGGTTTAAACAGCTTCTCAAGCTCAGGCTTAGGCTTAGGATACGGTATATTTCGGCAACCTAAGTCAGCCTAAACAGACTTACGGTAGCTTAGGCTTAGGCTTAGGCTTAGGCTTAGACTTAGGCTTCGTCCATCGAATGATACTAAAACTATAAAAATTACTATTATTTAAGCCTGAGCCTAAGCCTGAGCCTAAGCCTAAGTGTGCCTTAGCTCCCAGAACTCGCTGAGATCCAAAAAATGGGGGTTCAGCCCAAACCCAAATAGACTTAGTGCAGGCCGCCAGCCTACGCAAGCCAGCCTAAGCCTGACCCAAGCCTAAGTAAGAATTGGGGTGCCAAACCCAAATAGACTTAGTGCTAGGCGCTAGCCGCTAGCCTACGCACTAAGTCCAAGCCTTTCTTAAGCACTGTTTAGAAAACTAGAAAAAGAAGATTTTTTTGATAAAGGCACCCAATTTGTTGTAAAGCAGCTCTATATTTTTTTTAAAGTCAATTTCCTTTTTAATATAGCTTTTGATTTCTAAAACTTCATTCACCCTATCTTATCCATCCATGAATGGATAAGATGGATCAGATAGAACATCTTTCGTTACCGTTAACATCTTTCGCTACAAGATCTCGAGCCTCCAAGAGTAGAACGTTCAACAAAACCACGGGCGGCTAAATTCCAAGAGATAATTCATAATATATTTGATTCACAAGCTCCCAAACGGCTTTTGTCATCTTTTCTATTCAGAAATTAGCTCTATGCAATACAAAAACTCTAAAATTACATAAACACACAAAAAAAGCCCATGGGAAAGAATAAATTGGATAGTGTATGACGAAAAAACCAAAATAGGCTCAATTGGAGATATTTTCTTGCTTTTTTTTGAGTCATTTATGTCTTAAAATAGAAAATTTAGCTATTTTCAGCCGTCTCTTTTTCTTAAGACATCAAGAATTACCTTCACTTGTTTTGCGCGTTCGATTAGCTGATTGTGAAGTTGGTTATCGCCTTGGAAAGCCGCTTTCACGTATTTACAGAGGCTTTCCTGAAAGAGAAGGTTTAAAATGTGTTTATAACAATTTAGAACTCAACAATTGAACTTCAACTCAACATTGAACTTTAATTGATCTTCAACAATTGGACTTCAACTCAACAATTGGACTTCAACTCAACAATTGAGCTTCAACTCAACAATTGAACTTCAACTCAACAATTGAACTTCAACTCAACAATTGAACTTCAGCCCAACAATCGAGCTTCAACTCAACAATTGAGCTTCAACTCATCACTCACCTTGCTATCACTGTTCTCCTTTCCAATCTTGTGATGAATCGTGTACAACGCTTCGATGTAGAGTGCCTATAATTGGCTCATTTCCTCATTTCATCTCAAATTCTTTCTTTTCGCAATCACATATTGCTGAATGAAATATTTTTAGCACTTTCCGGAAAGCTGTTTGGCTGAAAAATCAACGCTCTAACTGAAATTTCATTCTCTCGCAAAAATTAATCAGGGAAAAGCACAGAACGGAAGTTTTTTGAGGGGATTTGAAACTGAACTTTCATGAATCTCGAAACGAATGAGTTTAGCAATCTTTTGGAGAAGAATTAGCATGGTAAAGTCTTTCAAAAAAAAGGGTGAAACACTGGGTGAAGTTAGGCTAATTGTTACTCACTTGTTAATCAAAAAATAAGAAAACTTGTTATAAGAAAACTTTATTTCTGTAAAAAGTGGTCTAACAAATGTCCTGCAACTGGTCTAACATGCGATTGAGGCTGAAAACTTAAACTCTCAGGGTTAAAACAAAGATTTTTTAGAGTTTTCTGCTTTAGATGAATGTCCTAAACGGTATACGTTTTCGGTTTGACTGAAATTCGCATATTAGGCTGTCCAAAAAGTCTTTTTGTTCCGTTTAAAACCAACAAATTGAACTACGATTTGTTTCATTAGAAAGAACAATTATTTTTCTGTAAAATAATATTGAAATAAACCGCAGTTGAATTGGTGAATCTTCACGGAAGCATGAAAAGGAACAAAAAGATTTACTCACCAACCTAATACACGGTGCGCTAAGAGTTCTGTCACTTCCCTAGAGTTGGCCAAAGCTGCTAAGAGTTCTGTCAATTCCCTAAAGTTGGCCAAAGCTGCTAAGAGTTCTGTCACTTCCTTAAAGTTGGCCAAAGCTCCTAAGAGTTCTGTCACTTCCCTAAAGTTGGCCAAAGCTGCTAAGAGTTCTGTCAATTCCCTAAAGTTGGCCAAAGCTGCTAAGAGTTCTGTCACTTCCTTAAAGTTGGCCAAAGCTCAAAAATATCATAACAATTTTCATTTTTTCTGATTTGTCAAGTCTGAAATAGCAAAATGCTTAACTTTTTAAACACTTTCAAAGGCTTAAAAGGCTTCAAAGGCTTATAAACTAAAAAAAAGCTTAATGACGTTGAAAACCCGATGAAAATCCAACAAAAACACCCGTTTTTGAGCTCTTAAAAATTTGGTTATACTGTAACGAGAAAGGATTTTAGAGAGACATTGGAAAGCAGAAGAGCTGACTTTTCTATTAGACTTCTATTAGAATTAGAATTCTAGTAGACTTCTATTAGACTTAGAATCCTATTAGACTTCTTAGAATTAGAATTCTAGTAGACTTCTATTAGACTTAGAATCCTATTAGACTTCTATTAGAATTAGAATTCTAGTAGACTTCTATTAGACTTAGAATCCTATTAGACTTCTATTAGAATTAGAATTCTAATTAGACTTCTATTAGAGTTCTATTAGAATTAGAATTCTATTAGACTTCTATTAGAATTAGAATTCCTATTAGACTTCTATTAGAATTAGAATTCTATTAGACTTCTATTAGACTTATGGTACTCAACTTCAAGACTAGCTGCTTTACCACTGAATCGCTAACATTTCACCCATTTAGAAAGACCTTATTGCTAAATCTTTTGTATCTAAAAAATCTTTTGCACACAGCAATCTCATTGTTAGACAAAACTTATCCAAAAAAAGAAGAAAATCAAATAAATCTTCAAAACAAAACAAAAAAAAGCGGTAGAAGTCGGAGAGAATCATTTGGAAGGCTTTAGTAGGAGAGAGAGCTGATCTTTTCACTCTAGCACTTACCTCAAGTGGGACTATCTGGAAAAAGTGAATGATAGGTTAATAAACAAAAAAGACTCGCAATCTACCTCCATCAGCTTTCTTTGCTCAGCGGAGATGGTGAGGTTTTTGATTGTGTAAAGCTCGTCATCGACTGGCTCGTCCACATCCATCGCCGCCGTGATTTTCTCGAAGAAATGACCATCCGAGGCTTGAACCCTGCAAATTTACCGTTTAAATTTACTATTTAAAACCTAATTTCGTTACTTATATTACTTATTATCCATAGGATTTGCCTGTAAGCTGTTTTCTGATTCTTTTAATAGTGATTTTGACTGTTCAATGAGATCACTGGTGTTAAGTCAATGAGATCACTGGTGTTAAGTCAATGAGATCACTGGTGCTGAGTCAACGAGATCACTGGTGTTGAGTCAATGAGATCACTGATCACTGGTTCTTTGAACGATGTTTGATTTGTTTTTCTTTGGTGTAATGCATTTTAGCAATAAGATTTTAGATTCCAATCATCTGATGATAAAATCTTATGCAAAGAACACATAAACTAACTAAAAACCTCAACTTATAGCCAACAAAGTGCAAAGTACAGACTAAACATTTTGTTGTTTTGTTTGTTGTTTTGCCAAATTATCACTCAATTCTATTTTATTAGCCGTTTTGTTTGATTTTGATAGCCATAGATGTTAGATTTAGTTTAATTCTTATAAAAGTATTCAGTCATTCTGTTATTGTTGTTAAAAACTGTTAAAAACTCAAAAATCATGAGCTTTAAGGCTATTTTTAAAAAGCTTGTACATCTGGTACACGGAAGACCTACTTTTTCAGATTCAGAACATCTTTTCTGATAAAATGAGTATTCATTGGGTTGATGGAAAAGTCAAATTCAAAAATTTTTTTGCTAAGATTCTGAAAATGCGTGTCTAGGGGTTATTTTTGACGCTGATCACGAAACACATGTTTTTAGCCTAGGTTTCTGCACGGAAAACTAACGAAAGGTGAAAACAGCCATTTTTTGGCTCTGCCGCCCTTTACTAAAATAGCTGTAAAAACTTTTAGAAAAGAGATATCTTAAAACGGTTTTTACCAATCGATCCGTCTTGCATTCAGCTTTAGGATGAGCTATAAAACGTCAAAATTGGACAAATTTAAGGCACTCTTCCAAAAAATCGGAAAGGACTTTTCCATCAATCCAATAGTTTGGCTAATCGATGGCTAGTAAAATGAACAAATTCAGTCATTTACTCAAGTAAAAGGAACCAATTGAAGATCTTTTCGAAACAATAATCCATCGATATCACCAACCACCTGTAGATGTGGGATTTCTTTCGTTTTTTCATCCGGGGAAATTTCCGGGGAAGTTTCTTATGTTAAAACATTATAAACTTTCTTCAGACGCAATATTTCGTTAATTTGTTTACAGATAAATGATCCTCAAACATTTCTCTTCATTTTGACCTTTAACTTAAGTAAATCTGTTGCCTTTGAACGTTTTTAGACGAGCTGGAAGGGAAATATTGGGTTGATGGAAAAGTCCTTTCCGATTTTTTGGGAGAGTGCCTTAAATTTGTCCAATTTTGACGTTTTATAGCTCATCCTAAAGCTGAATTCAAGACGGATCGATTGGTAAAAACCGACAAATTTAAGGTACTCTCTCAAAAAATCGGGAAGGACCTTTCCATCAACCCAATAGTTTGGCTAAAGACGATGGTCAATCGATGGCAAGTAAAAGGAACAAATTCAGTCATTTACTCAAGTAAAAGGAACCAATTGAAGATCAACAATAATCCATCGATATCACCAACCACCTGTAGATGTGGGATTTCTTTCGTTTTTTCATCCCGCCCGTCGTTGCGGAGACGCTTTTCTTTGCCGCCATCTCCACCGTCATTTAGTTGCCTTTTTGAAGGCAAAAAATATTTACAAATACAAGAGAAACATTTCTGAATCTAGCGAAATGTTGGGAAAAGTCGTTTGAATTGAAAACTTTGTCAAAATGTCATGAGTGAAATGGGGTATTTTCGCTTTCGGCCGACTGCCGCCGATTGCCCTTTTTGAGGCAAAAAAGGGGCGGGTGCTTTTGAGCCGAATTTCTCAAAAAAAAACCTCTCATTAATCGTACAAAAATGTGATTTAGAGGAAAACGGAAACAGAAAAAGGAAACAGAAAAAGGAAACAGAAAAGGAAACAGAAAAAGCAATTAGAAGCAATTGTTTTTAAAAATTTGTAATATTATAACGAAGATTGAAGTTTCGAAGTATGGAAAAGCAAAATTCGAAGCGACTTTTTGATTACTCAGAGAAAATCTGAGCAAATTACTGCAATGTTTTAAATCTGAAGTAATTTCTTTGATGAGAGAACTTATTGTTTTACATATAAAATCTATTTCAAGCTTTAGCTTATCGATATTTCTGTGAGCTTTTTGAAAAGGCTTTTCTTGAAAATGGCTAGAAATCTCGAAAATTGCAATAAATGGAGATGGGAAATGAGGGAAAAAAAGGATGAAGGAGATGAAAGGAGCTCATTTTGTGTGGATTTATGGGATTGCTTACATAAAAAATGGTTTAGACTAGATTCTCTGATAGTTAAACCTTTTGTTTTTTAGATTTTCAAGTCGAACAGTTAGAAGTAAAGATAAACTTGGTTTGGTTAGGCCATAAGACTCAAGTTAGGCTATAGGACTTGACTTTACAACGTTAGAACTGAAAGAATCCTTCTGAATTAAAAGACTCCTTTTGAATTAAAAGAATCCTTCTAAATTTAAAGAATCCTTCTAAATTTAAAGAATCCTTCTGAATTTAAAGAATCCTTCTAAATTAAAAGAATCCTTTTGAATTTAAAGAATCCTTCTAAATTTACAGAATCCTTCTGAATTTAAAGAATCCTTTTGAATTAAAAGAATCCTTTTGAATTAAAAGAATCCTTCTAAATTAAAAGAATCCTTTTGAATTAAAAGAATCCTTCTAAATTTAAAGAATCCTTCTGAATTAAAAGAATCCTTTTGAATTAAAAGAATCCTTCTAAATTTATAGAATCCTTTTGAATTAAAAGAATCCTTCTAAATTTAAAGAATCCTTCTAAATTAAAAGAATCCTGCTGAATTAAAAGAATCCTTCTGAATTAAGAAGAATCCTTTTTAAATAAAACTTCGTTTCTAAAGCCGTTTTATGATTATTCAACAATAGGTTTTGACCTCAAAGATAACAAAAATGAAGACGAGAGAAAAGAAAAATGTAATTGGATCCTCAGTGACCGAGTAAGTGACTGAAGAGAGGGGAACAAAGTTGGGGCGATAGATGACTGAATGAATGAATGATGATGAAGATAGGGATGGACTGATCCAAGTCTCTGAGAAATGGAAGAAAGAGGGAGTCCCGATGGGAAATGAAAACCAGAGGAAGAGGGAACCACGCAATTTCTTCTCTCTCTTTCTCTATATTCTGCCGCGTCCTCCACCTCCTCGGAAAATAAGTGCCTCATTTAGAGTTGGGAGATGAGGGCGGGAGAGGTTCTAGATGAAGGGTTTTTGGGATAGAGAACAGGAAATCGAACCACTCTTATCTTGATACAAAGTTGTTGAGTGGTGATGCAAAGTGACTAAAGAAAATAGGAATCAAAGAGCGATGAAACAAGAGTTTTATTCAAAAACTGATTTTTGCCTGCTTTTGTATTAAATTGTAAGATTATATTATATTATATATAAATATATATCTGTCGTAGCCGATTATGAATGAAATTTTTTGGCAAATCTTTCTAGTAGAGCAACCCTTTAATGTATGAGGACAATATTATATCATCTTGTAGCTAATTGAATTCTGCGTCGATTGGTACCAAATTTGTGAGGTTAGGTTAAAAATTGCCGGCGCTACAACGTTTCATTCAAAATCGGCGGGACCCCCGTAGCCGATTATGAATGAGTGCGTCTAGGAGCGTCCAACCATTAAGTATTTAGTATCATTCAACGCAGAATCATTAATAATTATTTTAAATTTTTAAAATTAGCAAGATTTGATAAAAAGAAAAAAAATTAGAGCAAAAAAAACTGTTTGTTCAAGAGGAAACTTTGAGGCCCCATAATTTTTTTTCTTTTTATCCAATCTTTCTAATTTAAAAAATTTAACATAATTATTAATGATTCTGCGTTGAATGATACTAAATAATTAATGGTTGGACGCTCCTAGACCCACTCATTCATAATCGGCTACGACATATATAAATATATATAAATAAATGTATTATATATAAATATTATATTGTAATATTGTAATATTGTAAATTATCTTATACTTTAGCTCGTCTACTAAGTTTTTCTGATTCTATCCTGTTAGTTTCTCACAAGTTAGTAAAGCTGGGTAATTCGGTTCAAAATAACTGCTCTACCTGGATTATATAAGGCTGTGGATTGCATAGCTAAGGCCTAAAATTAAGTTTTATTGTGAGGTTAGAACAAGAGAAGCTAATTTCAGTCTGCTACGCAACCAAAAATCAGTTCGCCTCAAAGTAGCGGAATCTAAGCGAAACTTGATTATTATCTAAGCGATAACTTGATTATTTCACTATGTGAGGCCTTTTCAGCTTTTCAATTTGGTCTAATTTTACGCGGAAAGTCAAGTCAGTCAAAGTACCAACGTTGGCATAAAAGCTTCATGCACGGGTTTCAAAAACGGCTGACAAGGGGATGTCAACTGCCATTTGCCATTTGGCGTGGGCCAAATGACATGTGCCACGGGTTATTCGACGCAGAATTCAACGCCGATTCCGAATCTCCTTTCTGTTTCTGCTATGGAGCACTTTGTCAAAAGTTATAAGCATTGTCACCTTGACAGCAAGCACACTTTGACATTGATTACAAAATCGTTGATGAAATGGTGAAAGTGACACTGTCAAAGTGACAACGCTTATAACAGAGTGCTCCATAGCAGAAACGGAAAGCAGATTTGGAATCGGCGCTGAGTTCTGCATCAAATAACCAGTGGCAGATGCATAGTCCGAATGCCGATGCCGAGCCTGGTTCTAACGCTTTTGGAATGGTGATGAAAGTCTCGAGGATCATGAACACTCTCGTCAAGAATATCGTGTCTACCTCAAGCGATAGACAACGATACTTTGAGGGCTGCAATGGAATCGGATCCATGTCAAACGACGCGTGAACTTGCTCAACAGTTTCTATGTTCAAATTCTACTATTGATGAGCATCTCCACGC